CTTTTTTTCTCGGATCTATCTGATTTAGGGTTGGGGATGGGGTTAGGATCGAGATTAGGGTTTGGTTAGGGTTAGGGTTTCACTATTGTTCTTCCCCGTGACTGATTCAAGGGTTAGGTTTCGGTTTTGAGATCCGAGACCCTTTCTTTTCTCTGATCCGAACAGATCTACTCTGTGTCTTATCGTTCACCCGTTCTAGATCTAAAACCCCTAGAAAAATCTGGCTCTGATACCATTGTTGAAACTATTCGAATCACATGGTCATAGATCTAGCCGGATACATCTTGTAAATGGATAGCATGTCCTAGTACATGAACTAGACAGAGATTAGAGGGAGGAGTAGTGTTAGGTTACCGACCATCGTAGGCCTTCGATCCAGAGTCGTCTGCCATGGGCGTTGCGTCGGTGTCTGCGCGAGGACAGCGACGGTCGGTGAAGACGGTGTCGGTGATGGGCGGTGGCGACCGGCGGTGAAGATCGGTGGCGGCGCAGTGTAGTGGTGGCGGTGATGTAGTCCGGTGGTGGCGCGGCTGGTGGCTTCCTGTCACTGGCTGCGCCCCTCTAGATCGGGATTAGGGTTTAAGTTTCGGTGGGGAGCTCGGCTCAGGCGAACCTCGTGCTTAGAGCCACCGGCCCCACCTCTATTTATTGTGCTGTGTGACAGGGGCCCTCCAGCCATAGTGGCCTGGGCGCCCCCGATCAGGACGCGGATCAAAGGGCCAACTGGGACCGTTGGGCCCAGTTTGTAATTAGAGATCAATGTAACATGACGGATTTGTCACTGAGCCATAACAAGATCGGTGGCCAGATTCTGCCCCGGGCCTTGTTTAGATTGCAATTTTTTGCAACCTAGACATTGTAGCACGTTTTGTTTGTATTTGACAAACTTTGTCCGATCATGGACTAACTAGGCTCAAAAGATCCGTCTCGTGATTTACAACCAAATTATGTAATTAGTTATTTTTTTACCTACATTTAATACTCCATGCATACGTCCAAAAATTGATGTGATGGAGAGAGAGTGAAAAAACGAATTTGGAGGTGATCTACACAAGGCCCCGGATGGGCGCCCTCCGGTCTCTGAACTCTCTGGCCATGGATGGCATCATGGCAACATGCTTGTAGGCTCCATTCCGGCATCACTCCTCGGCCTGCAGAAGTTGGGGTACCTGAACCTGTCAGGAAACGGGCTCTCCAGTCCACTCCCCACCGGCACCGGCAACGCCTTGCCTTCCATGGTATCCATGGACCTCTCCCGCAACCGTCTCACCGGCGACATTGGCCAGCTGTTCAGAAGCTTGTCAACAGCGGCTAGCCATGGCAACAGGACTACTAGTCCACAGATTGTTCTTGCCCAGAAACTAGAGCACCTGGACGTGTCGGAGAACAGGATCACCGGTGCGCCGCGGGCTCAGGTGGCTTGACATCTCGGGCAACGCCATCGGCGGCCAGATCCCGAGCTCGGTCTCCAAGCTAAGCGGCCTGGAGAGGCTGGACGTGTCAAGGAACCGCGTCAGGGGCACCATCCCTGCGTCCATGGCGGAGATGGTGCGCCTGCGGTGGCTGGACCTGTCGACGAACGAGCTCGTCGAGAGGATACCGAACAACTTCACGAGACTGACGGGTGTGCGGCACGCGAGCTTTAGGGGCAACAGGCTGTGCGGGCAGATACCGCAGGCCAGGCCGTTCAACCTGTTCCGTGCGGCCGCGTACGCGCACAACCTGTGTCTGTGCGGCAAGCCATTGCCGCCGTGCAGGAAGATACGGTGACACGGGATGGCATGGCAGGATGCAAGGTGACGAGCCAAAAGAAGTCGTGTCCACTGTTGGTGCAACCTGCGAAGGGTGTGGATGGAAAGATGGAAATGTTCGGTTGTTAAATTAGTTTAGATTAGAGTACCTCTGTGTGTTTTTCTTTCAATGCAAAGTCCAGTTCATCAGAGCACTTCTGTGTGAGTCTGAATGCAAAGTTGTGTAATCGTGCATGTTAGAAAAGAAGTGCAAAAGAAGACAAGCTTTGATATGTAGTGTATTTGAAGTCTGAGGGTCATATTTGTTGCGATTCTAGTGAATTTTCGTTATAATTTAATTCAGAAAATAAACACAACGGTCATATTTGTTGCAATTCTAGTGAATTTGAATTTCTGTTATAATTTAATTCAGATAATAAACACAACGCGGGGTATAACATGGTCCTTCCAAACCCACCGAAGTCACGAAGTCAAATTCCTATGCTTAATCATATCCCCGTAGCTCTCGGCAACGATTTTAATGACACTTTGAATCGGTTTAAAGATAAATTATCTAAATCCATTGAGGAGAGCTTAGAAGTATAAATTAAGCCTAGGAGGACCACATATCGTAAGCTGTACCCTTCACATTTTGATTTCATGAAAGCACCTTATGGTTGAAGGGTACCGGATTTTTATAAATTCAGTGGAGATGGCAGTAGATCATCTATGGAGCATATTAACATGTTTCTTGCTTAAATGGGCGAAGTTAGAACTTTAGATTTCATGGATGTTCGTCATTTTTCTTTATCTATTACCGGTACAGCTTTTGCACGGTTTACTTCATTACCGCATTGTTCTGTTGGTTCATGGGCTTGATTAGAAGGGAAATTCCATGCTCACTTTTATAATGGAGTCCATGAAACTAGATTGTCTCACCTTACATCAGTTCGTCAAGGGTGTGATGAGTCCGTTCTTGATTCTGTTAAACGTTTTAGAGACACTAAGAACCGATGTTTCCACTTGATGATTTCTGAAAGAGACCTCACTGATTTGTGTTTTGCTAGTTTACGTTCTAGCATTAGAGAAAAACTTGAGCATTATGAGTTTCTTAATGTTAATCAATTATTGCAAAAAGTCGTTACGGTCCAATCTCGTTTAAAAGAATCTCAAGATGTTCATAGGTCTCATCGTTCAACTATGCATGTTGTAGAAAGCTATTCTAATAACTCGGACGATTAAAATAAAGAATGATATGTTGCTGAATTTGTGTGGCTAGCGCAAAACAAATTGGTTACTTGTCCTTCTCTCAAGCCGATTCACAAAAATCGGAATGAAGAAGTTAAATTTTCTTTTGATTTTTCTAAATGTGACCGAATCTTTGATGAATTGCTTAAATTTGGTTATCTTAGAATTAATTATACATTGCCATCAACCGAGGAGTTAAAGAGAAGGGCTCGTGCCGCCTCGTCCCACCACTGGATCTACCCTGTTGACACTTTGCTAAGGTCCTCGTCGTCACCGCCACCGCTTCGGACGGTGCAATTACGACAGACGAACCCTGAGTCGTGGCAGATTCCGTTCATCAGAAGGAAACACATTCAGGATGTCTTCCTATCATGTCTGACCATCTACATTTCATGGAGCGCCCAAGTTTGAGAACTGTGAAACTCCTTCAAGGTCTCACCAGAGCTCCACTATACCAGATGCAATGAGGTATGCAAACTTTGTATGTGCCTTGTGTTTGAGTTCACCTTTTTTTTAGATGAGTGTTTGAAACTATTGTATCATTGCCAGCTTGCCTTCTAGGAAGACCTCAACCCTCTTCCACATAAATATTTAATTGTTAGAGACATGCTTTCTTGCGCTCGGTTCGATATACAATACGATTAGCAAATAGCAAAAAAAATATAATTATGAAGAAAACGAGCGATGGCCGAAGCGCAATGGAAAAACTAAATATGACCTCTCTTTATCGATTTATAATACGAGTGGCATATGTGAAATATGATTATGCAGTTGCAACTCTCCTTTTATGCACACATAACTCTTAGGCCTCCTTTGGAATATACAATTGTTTTGTTTCCTATGTTTTTTCTGTATAAAAATAAACTCATTGTAGTGATTTTTTTTAATAATACCAATGAAATTTGTGTGTTTTCAAAGGGGTCCTTAGTAAGGAGTTTATGTAAAGATCCATTGTCTACTCTACTTAGTGAAACGGGAGTGTTTGTTTGTTACGTGATTTGTTTTTCCTTAACAATTTTCTTTTGCAAAGTGGCCTCGCTCGAATTTTCTTTTGGCCGAGAAGAAGAGAGGGAGAAGTAGCTCGCCGGAACCCAACTCCTAGATGCTTGAACGTGGGAGGAAGAGGAGAAGGACACACCTCGCCAGTGCTGGTGGTGGCCTAGGAGCGCTGGTAGCTGCTAGAGGAGGAGAGAGAGAGAGAGAGAGAGAGAGAGAGAGAGAGAGAGTGTGGTGTGGTGGCCTCCTTCGAGCGTGGCCGCGGTAGAGAAGAAGAGAGGGTGGGACGTGGCCGAGAGAGAGCAAGGAAAAAGTAGGCGTGCGGGCGTGGACGTGCTGTGTATTAAACGCAAACACACCCGCACGGCTAGAAAGTAGCTTTTGCCATAACTTTTAGACCTTCTATGGAATGTAGAAGAATTTTCTATTTCTTGTGTTTTTCGTGTGGAAATGGATTTGGGTCAAATTTTTGTATATTTCTTGCGAAGTTTGTGTTTTTAAAGGGTCCTTAGTAGGGAATTTATGGAGATCCCATTGTTTACTCAACTTAGTTGAAAAGAGAGTGTTTGTTTGTAACATGACCTGTTTTTCCTTAAGAATTTTCTTTTGCAAAGTGCTTTTCCCTCGCATAACCCGGCCATAACTCATACTCGCATCCGTTAAGTCAAATCCATTTAAACAACACATTAAAATTTATATGAAATCAGATGGGAATAATCAAATATAAATATATTTCAAATAACAACGATGCTTTATTGACACATATAAATAATTTCATACCAAGTTTTTCAAAAAAATGTAAATGCATATCGAATAATATTACACTCAAGTTATGAATACACATGCCGAATAGAATGGAGCGAAATTGTACACCTCTACCACCCATGTTGAGGCAGAGCTCATCCGGTGGATTTATCATCATATATACAAGAAGATGTAATCTTATTGATATAACTAATGCACTGTAGAAACATGACAAACAATTTGAACAAAATATGGCCAAATTCATAAAATTAAGGTATGTATCTAGATCTTAAGCTTAAAACTGCAGGTATTGGATCGGATGCTCAGCTGCGTGCCTGCCTGGATGTTGTCGACCACCAGGTTGCAGTTGGCCTTGCCCGTCATCTTCCACAGTCTGATGGCGCCGAACTTGATGCGTATCGGCACGCGGGCGCGCACGGTGAGCGGCACGAACCCGGCCTGCTGCTGCTGCAGCAGCTGCGCCGCGACGTCGCTGTCGAGCCGCGTCTCCCCGGCGAGCGAGATGTGCGGGCGCACGGTGGTCCGGTGGCCCTGGTACAGCGCCGGGAAGGGGCCGCGGCACAGCACGGTGCCGTTGAAGGACGCCGTGACGTCGCCGCCGTCGTAGTAGATCCCGATGCGGCGGTTCGGGTTGGTGGCCGTCACGTCGACGTCGAACGCGTCGGTGACCGTGGCCGTCGTGGTGTTCACGTCGAACCGGGTGACGGTGAGCCGGTCCACGTGGAAGGTCGGGATCTTGGGCCGGAACACGAGGTACAGGATCCCCGCGGTGGCGCCGAGCGCGACGACGAGCAGGACGAGGGCCAGGAAGGTGTAGCACACGCACCGGCAGCACCGGCTGTGCCGCTGCCGACGCCGCGGCGGGGCAGCGGCGCTGGTGCGTACGGCGCCGGGGCCGTCACCGGTAGCAGCTGGTCGTGGCTGGGTTTCTTGCCATGCTCCGGCGGCGCGGACGGCGGCGGCGAGCCCACGGTCACCGGGTGGATCTTGTGGTAGTCTGCCATGCTTGTCGCGTGCTGCTCTCAAACCTGCTGCACGGCCCTGTACTTCTCTCCGGTGACCGGCCGGTGGCTCCGGTGTGGCGGCGTTGCCTGTACGAAATGCACGAACGCCGCAGCTGCAGGACTGGATAGTTAAAGGCTTAAAGCTATTGTCGTCTCGGTGTTCAGTCGTCTATATATGCCGTCGCCATGTCTGGTTGGTCTAGCTTGGCTTCTAGACGGCTGCCCTTGACTTGTTCGCGCCATGGGCCATGGCGGCGTGCCGGCGTGGGTGTTTACTTCCACGCTTTCCCCTCTTCTCTGTCCCCTGTGTTTCGTGGAAGAAGAAATCACATGCCTTTGTGTTCTCACTCATGTGATGCCCGTGACCTTTCTGGGATATATAAGTTTTTTGACTGCTCGCCCCCGCGTCCGGGTGCACCTACGCGTTCTAATGAGCATGCTGCTCTTGGAGGCAGGTGAGTCGTGTGGTCAGGCCAGGCCAGGCCATCCGTTGTCGTGTCGTAGTTCGACACGCATCGCGCGCCACCAGCGGTACGCGCTGCGCCTGCGCGGCGTTTGCACTGCACGTAGATGCAGGTGAGCCGGTGAGGTCACGGCGGCTCCGCCGGCGTGTTGAATGGTTGCAGGCTTGCATAGAGGTGGGCCTTCTCATGCTACGTGTCGAGCTTAGGTGTACTAGCACACTGGTCTACGCGTACGTATCCCAATATACAGGTCGTGTCATGCCACATGACCTATCATTTGTCAAAATTCTAGATACGGTACGATTTAGAATTTATCGTGCGGTACTCAGGCTGTAGCGAATATAACTAATTGTCTAATTGCACGGAAGATGCCTAATCCCTGCAGGCAAGCATGCTTCATTTGACCACTGGCCGGTTGTTGTTGTTAATGCGTTGAACATTCTGATGCCCGGGGCTGCATCCGGAAGCCGAAAGCTGTTTTCGTCCGTCATGACGTGATCAACGGTTTGGTATGAAGATGTTAATATATCACAGCTTCAGTGATCAATTTCAAGTTGCAACGGACAACCAAGTCATGATATAACATTAATTTCCTTCATCTATTCTTTTTTTTCCTAATTGGTACTAGTCATATCAGCAAAAACAATATATGTTTGCTACAATGAATAAGACACCAATTCTTCATCTATTTTCACTTGTTAATCAAGCCTAGCTTACCCAAGGTATTTCTTTCATTTGAACACTCATCTTGATGGCATGACACCAATATCTCTACCGCTCAAAAGAATGTCCATGGAACATGGCGTAAAGCAATCAAATCAACATTTTTTTTTGACTTGCTTATCTTATCTCAATCTCGATCTCCATCTCCTAGTGTCCTGAGGCTTTAGAAGTTGTACAGGCGCAGCTGGAATCCGGAGCCACCACTCCCTTAACCTTCTCACCAACTTTTCACTGCTCTTCTTCCTCAATGGCATCTGTCTTGTGTATGCTTCTAGAAGAATCAGTAGAACAATGGTTCTCAATGGCATGAATGTGAATATCGTGGCCACTACAACCAGTGCAGCTGCAACTCTGTTGGTGCTCTGAATTCAAGCAACACATTTCACTAGTCAGGATGGCAATGTTTCAAACAGTATATGGCTACATAGCAGAAAAGATCAAGAGACACCTGAGGAAATGCTGCAAGCATGAGGGACCGAAGCTTGAGGAGAAAAATGTTCCCTGCTTGCACGTGTGCTTCCAGCTGTGAGATGGCCTGTTGCAGAGCTAGAAGTTGTTCCACGGTTCTTCTTCGAGGAGGAGTTATGATCTCAAATGCTCCCACCGAGCGCCCATTCCCGTAATGTTTGTTCCATAGCATGAAGAGAGTAGAACCAAGCAAAAAGCCAGGAAACATGAACCAGATCCAACCACTGCAATAAAGACAACTTCCTCAAAAATAGACAACTTTTGCTACTTCCACAGACCTTTTTTTCTAACCCAAATTTGTGAAAAATAACTTCAAGGTATTGCAGATGATATCATCACATATCGGAAAACAATACCTGTATGCCATGTAGAGGAAACATAACAAGAAGACAAAAGATTTAAAGGGCTCTTCCCACCCAGCCAAAGTGAGCAACCTTTTACCTATTTCAATCAAAGGAAATAGTAGTTCCTGGAGGGAGTTAAAACAATGTTAGTACATTAATTAATAATTCTTAAACAAGCCCAGATCATGAGCTCCCTGGAAGACATATACTGAAATATGCCTTGCCATTTACAGTTCAATGGAAGTTTAGCTTCTGCCATGTGACATAGTTTTAGTTTCATATAACAAACTATTTCCCGTTCAAAAATAACGAACTATTTCCGAACAAAAAACAATACCTTTAGGACAGCTACATTAGTGTCTATGTCTTCCACTTTGACCTGATCAAGCGTAGTCCTTGCCGCTTCCACTCTGCCTGAATACCCAACCGATCGCTCTAGAGCCATCTGAACTGAGCTAGTTCCTCCAATTTGCACGTCTCGCACAGTGAAATCCCTCTCCTCAGCATTGTCCTCCTCTTTCAGTTTTAGCAAACCCATTGTCACCATTGTATACGCAGAAAGTGGGAAGGGGTCAGCAAGCATCAATTCATCCGAACTGCTCTGACCGAAATCCTGGCTTCCTCTGAATCTTGGGCAATGCTGCTTGAGCTGGCCATACAATGCCTCCAAAATCTTGTCGCCTTTCGGCAGTTTCTCGGCCAAGTTGAAGGCAAGGATGGTCTTGAAATGTGCTGGTAGTATGTGGAATCCCTGTTTAACAGTGCGGTACCGCAAAATCCCTAATGTTGCGACGGAGAGAGCCTCCGCCTTCTGGAAACTAGCAAGCTTGTACTTCCTGATGAACTTGTGTGCGTGCAGCACCTCTTTGATGGCTGCAAACCAGTAATCTCGGCGAGTGTGGCCTTTGAATTGTGGGAATTCAAAGAAGACAGGTTCACTTCTGTCGCAGTACACATACGTTAGTTAGTCTAGTATGTGCAAATTGCAATTATGATAAAAGATTGCCTTTTTGTATATAACGTAATGTACTGTTGTTGTAGCTACTCACGTCAAGCTGGACTTGTACATGACAGCTTTGTCAAAGAGGTGAGCACCCCATGGCCCAGTGGACTCACGTTTTACTGATTGTTTCAAGTCCCTTGCCAGATCATACACAACAGCCTCGCCGTATGAGAAATCAACACCAATAGCCTCAAAGTAGAGCGCGTGATTCGTCAGTGTGAGCCTCCCTGCAGAATGCGCAATCCATCCATACACATTAAGAACCTCGTGAAGAAGCAGATATCAGCAGCGCTGATCAAAATTACCATAAGGAGGGTGCTTAACCAGGCCATGTGGACGTCCCGATGTGCTGAAGAACTGGCTTGGTTGTCGCAGCGCCGTGGATGTCAAGGATCACTTCGTCGTCAGAGAGCTGCAGGGCAGGAGCTTTGTGCCCCCCTAACATACGTTTTGCAGAGCAGAACGCCCTAGTGTCAGAGATGATACAGACATACAGTGAGTGATGCTGATAATTCAGAAGAATTCGATAGCTTCCAACAATGTGAACATGGTGAGGATGGATCGATGCGTATATGTACGTACTCGTCTAAGCTTCTGAGATACTTGTGGTAGATAAGGAAATGCAGCCGTCCTCCTGTAGAGTTGGTGAGCGCGTCAAACAGGTTACGAACGGTGATGGGGTGCGCCATGGCAGGGCAAGCAGGAGCAATCTTGGCAAATGCCTCGGGTCCAACTGTCCTCCTGCCATCGACCTAGCCATTGATATCACGCAAGATCAAGATCAGGCAACACAAAGGATCAAGAACACGATCATATACAGGGGGAAACAACAGGGAGACCTGAATGGCCATCTGCGTTGGGCTTGAATAGAAAATGGATGCACCGTCGTCGTCATCCGCGTCGTCGCGGAGAACGCTGAATGCCGTTTTCTGCGTCGTGAAAAAACCAATGAATCCTGATTCAGTATCTACATGGTCTGTTTGTTCTAACGGGGAGAAGACAAGAGCCGATCTGACCTGAAACATGGCGTAGGTCTCCTCGTCGGGCGCCTCCCAGGCGAGCATCATGTCGTATGTGAGCGTGTGGAACTCCCTGTCGCCGAGGTGGTCCGGGCGCCTGGCCTCCACGCGAAGGGCGACGTGGGAGCAGTACTCCACGACGCTCCTGGCGTACTCCAGCGGCCCGCCGGCCTGCTCCTCCGCGTCCAGCCGCCGGAGCAGCTGATCCACCGGCACGCCCGCGATCCTGCCACGGTCACGCAGAATGTAATGCGATGAGATGCAATGTTCTGTCTGTCTGTCACGGTGAACGGAAAAAGAAACGCGCAATGTCGGGATGGACGGACCGGGCGCATCGGCGGACTACGGATGCAGCAGCGGCCGAGAGGGGAGGGATGGCCGACGGCGGTGGCACGTCTGACCCCATGGCGGCCGTCTCGGCGCCGCCACCGCGCTCCTGGTCCTCCTTCCCCCTGCTGCGATCGCCGCCGAGGAGGAGGCGATCAAAGAGACCCATCCGTGGTGGCGGCCGGACACGGATGCATCTCTTTCCCTTTCCGTGGACGGATGGCTACGCCTACGCGTGCATTCCCCGCCGGTGTCGGACGTCCAGTGAAGTGAGGAACCGCGCACACGCCGCGAACCTATCCTTCCACGGTCACTTGCCAGCAAAGTAAAGTTCCACGTTCCTGTCCCTTCGAGTCATCGGTGAAATGGATTTCACGTAAAAGCAACTATATTTGTTCTTTTAATAAAAAGAAGCGTGTTACTATCTCCGTCCAAAGATGCAATTTAGCTCCAGTCCAAACCAAACTATCTTTATGTTTGACTATAATTATCAACATGCATGACTCCAAATAGATATACTACAAAATTATTTCATAACAAATCTAAGTAGAGATACTATAAAAATATTTCGTAACAAATTTAATGATACATATTTAATATAATAAATATTAGTATCTCTTGAACTTAATCAAACTTCTAATCATTTGACTTAAAATTGCATCTTTTTTGACAGACTGGTGTAGTTCACAGTTTGTATCTCTACTACGTATTTTTGCAAGATTTGCTATCCCCAGGAACAGTTATAAAATAAAAGAACGTAACATAATGTTTACACTAAAATACGGGCATCGACCGACATACAGCACGTTCCACCGTTTTCATGAAAAAGCCTTTTAACTTAACTCCGTAGATACAAATCTTATTACCACTAACATCAATGGAGTCCTCTCCCTCCCCATTTACCAGCTCAGAAACTATGTGAACAAAAAACATCCTGCAACTGCAAAGAACAGACGCAGGCTTACAACATAATTATCTGTCCCCGAAAAATGCAGTAAAAAGGAGGCAGAAACATGGATCCCAGCGGTGAGAACCACCCCGGGGACTTAGGAGTCAAGTCATGGTGATCACTTCACGATGCAGATCTTGATGACAGAGGCGACGCCGATACGGTGAAGAGCCACGATGGAATCACCAGGCTTGCAAAGCTGCTTCTGCACAGCAGACTTCAGCGCGGCCTCCAAGATCACCTCCGTCGACTCTGAATCTGTAGCCTTTGCAGAGCCCTCGGCAAGGAGGGGAATGAGACCTCTGTAGATCAGGCTGTGCCTAGCTGGGCCCTCGGAGCTGATGGTCCAGTCGAAAGAATCCGTCGTTAGCACGGGTACAACAACAGAGAGGATGGGAACCCTGGGGCGGTACTTGGCGACCAGCTTGGCCGTGGTGCCACCGCGAGTCAAGACGACGATCAGTGCGGACTTGGCCTTGTTGGCAGTTCGCACAGCAGATGATGCAAGAGACTCCAGAGGGCTCATTGGAAGAGGCGCGGACCTGATCATCGCCTTGAAAATTGCCTCGTGGTCCAGGGAAGATTCTGCCTCAATGCAGATACGAGCCATGATCTTCACAGCCACCTCGGGGTAGGCTCCAGCAGCACTCTCACCACTGAGCATGACACAGTCAGTTCCATCAAGAACGGCATTTGCAACATCAGTGGCCTCAGCACGTGTTGGCCTAGGAGATTTGATCATTGACTCGAGCATCTGGGTAGCAGTAACAACAGGTTTGCCAGCAATGTTGCACTTGTAGATCATCATCTTCTGCGCAAGGAAAATCTTCTCAACTGGAATCTCCATTCCCAGATCACCTCTAGCAACCATAAAAGCATCAGTCTCCCTCAAGATCTCATCAAAGTTTACAACACCCTCTTGGTTTTCAACCTGCATAGCAGAACCATATCATGAAAGAAATCAGATCCATGACAGCATAACTAACATGATCATAAGTTCTATAATATGTCCATTATCATCATGTAATATGAACAACACTATAGCAGGAAACCGATTCCAGACATTGCAGTGAAAAAGCAATATATGACATGAACTAGTCTGAACCATAAAGAAATTATCAAGTATTTCAGAGAATTTGGCTAGGAGTAAAACAGCCTAACAGGTGAAAACGTAGAGTAAAAGTAACAGAATTGCATTTCGCTAACCAACTGTCAAGTAAAAATTCTTGTGAAGTCGTAGCCTGGGCAAGCACTATATCCTAGTTGGTAAAAGAGTACTCAACATACTACTTTCATATGTTACTGATAAATAACATAACATGGCAAAAACTGGTCATCAAGTTGTTTACAGTAAAACTAAGATGAGAAGGTTTCACACGAGAGATGCAAGCAAATCATGTCGTGCAAAAATTATGGACAGAGAAATAGCTGATATAACCCTTTGAAGTACGACAGTGATAGTATATACAAACCTTTGACATCAACTTAATGCGCTTGGCATGCTGCCCAAGAACCTGTCTGACAGTCACCAAATCTGACCCTTTACGGACAAAGGATAGAGCAATCATGTCAATATCATTTGGAACACCCCAGCCCAAAATGTCTTCTTTATCTTTCTCAGTCAATGTAGGAAGATCCACAACAATTCCTGGCAAATTGCAGTTCTTTCTCTCACCAAGCATTGCAGTGTTCTCACACCTACACCTCACAGTTCCAGCATCAGGATCGCAAGACAGAACGGCCAGAGAGATAGTACCATCTGCGCAGAGTATGACATTTCCAGGCTTCACGTCAACAGGCAGTTTCTTGTAACTCATAGCAATCATATTTTCATCACCCTTGATATCATAATCAGTGGTGACAGTGATTTCTTGACCCTTGGTTAGCTTAATTGGTTTACCATCCTTCAAAAACCCTGTACGAATCTCAGGACCCTGCAGCAACAAAAGGTTGGTTAAGAACACTTCATATAACCACCTTAAATGCCATACAAAGAAGAATACAGTCAGAAGTTTTGCAAAATATCATGGAGTGACACATAACTACATAAGCAGCAAAGAGCAGGTATAGTATATATGTACTCAATTTTAATGATGAAGCCAAACCAACAAATATGACCATGTGAACCATGAATTGGAACATAAGAAAATGAAGAGGTAGCAATTTAGTAGCAACTGACAAGAAATTAAGGAATAAAGACACCTAGAAGTTCTGTTATTGATCAGCTCTTGTGTCAAGAAAATGAAACATCAATTGAAAATTGACTGACCCTGAATATCTGGGGAGGCTGAATGCTTTGGCATTGCAACCTCAGACTCAGAGACAACCAAACCATTCCAAATCCAAAACCAGAAGTAATACATTAATCCCTGGACCATTAAACGCAGAACCATAACCAGAAGTGGCAAAAGTAATCTGAACAAAACATAACAAATTTGGAACTGAATTCAACCATTCACATGGAGAATTGTTGACACAAGAGTGAACAATGGCAACAAGGCAAATATAGAGCCATAGGCAAATCTAATCCTTGGCACTATTGTGTCACGTCACAAATCAGTATCCCATCACATAAGAAAGCAACTAATGTAATCACAGGTGTTAATCATATATGTAGCATTCATTTTGGTCAAGATGAATGTCTAAATACTCCTACTGAAACCACTGAGCTCAAAACGGCGATGTCCAAGAAAAATATTTTGGCTTACAATTGCCAATCTTCAAGTCTAGTGAAGGAATTGATTTCTTAAAACCTAACTTCCACAGCAGCTAAAGTAGGAGTACTCAACATCCACCAACTTTGCAGTACACTCTGGGTAGTTAAAGCTAAACATACAACCGAAAGTGCTAATGTACAAAATCTGAAACTAACTTTAACCAACATGGAGTATCGTTTCCTTTTCACAAACACGATAACCAACAGCATATATTGACTAAAGTAGCAGCAACTGTCAATAAATCAAGGAATAATGACCTTGGAAGCTCGATGCAGATGAACTCCGTAGGAAGCAGTCAATCAAACCATACAACAACAACAACAACAACAAAGCCTTTAAGTCCCAAACAAGTTAGGGTAGGCTAGAGTTGAAACCCAACAGAAGCAATCAAGGTTCAGCCACGTGAATAACTGTTTTCCAAGCACTCCTATCTAAGGCTAAGTCTTTGCTATATTCCATCCTTTCAAGTCTCCTTTTATTGCCTCTACCCAAGTCAACTTCGGTCTTCCTCTGCCTCTCTTCACGTTACTATCCTGGCTTAGGATTCCACTACGCACCGGTGTCTCTGGAGGTCTCCGTTGAACATGTCCAAACCATCTCAACCGCTGTTGGACAAGCTTTTCTTCAATTGGTGCTACCCCTAATCTATCACGTATATCATCGTTCCGAACTCGATCCCTTCTTGTATGACCGCAAATCCAACGCAACATATGCATTTCCGCGACACTTATCTGTTGAACATGTCGTCTTTTCGTAGGCCAACATTCTACACCATACAACATAGCAGGTCTAATCGCTGTCCTATAAAACTTATCTTTTAGCTTCTGTGGTACCCTTTTGTCACATAGAACACTAGATGCTTGGCGCCACTTCATCCACCCTGCTTTGATTCTATGGCTAACATCTTCATCAATATCCCCGTCTCTCTGTAGCATTGATCCTAAATATCGAAATGGTATCCTTCCTAGGCACTACTTGACCTTCCAAACTAATATCTTGCTCCTCCCGAGTAGTAGTGCCGAAGTCACATCTCATATACTCAGTTTTAGTTCTACTGAGTCTAAAACCTTTGGACTCCAAAGTCTCCCGCCATAACTCCAGTTTCTGATTCACTCATGTCCGGCTTTCATCAACTAGCACTACATCGTCCGCGAAAAGCATACACCAAGAGATGTCCCCTTGTATGTCCCTTGTGACCTCATCCATCACTAAGGCAAACAGATAAGGGCTCAAAGTTGACCCTTGATGTAGTCCTATCCTAATCGGGAAGTCATCCGTGTCTCCATCACTTGTTCGAACACTAGTCACAACATTGTTGTGCATGTCCTTAATGAGCCCGACGTACTTTGTTGGGATTTTATGTTTGTCCAAAGCCCACCACATAACATTCCTTGGTATTTTATCATAAGCCTTCTCCAAATCAATAAAAACCATGTGTAGGTCCTTCTTCTCCATATACCGCTCCATAACTTGTCTTATTAAGAAAATGGCTTCCATGGTTGA